CATTGCTGCTCCAACTCCCATTCCCCCCTGTCCCCATCCCCCTCTGTTTTCACAGCCATTCCCTAACAAGGCGTTGTATCTCCTCTACACTCTGCCTCCACATCTGCTGAGCATCTTTTTACCTTCCCTTCAATGGTCAACTAGAAAAGAAAGTCAAAGTTTTATGACTCTACTTGTAAAATTTGTTCTTAAGAAATACAGCACACTTTTAATTAAGCTATAAATATTAAAAGCAAATTTAGATAAATCTGAACATTGCAAGAAGAGGAAAAATGGAAACAATCCACAGCAACATGAAATTTCTTTCTTGATTTATTCATAATGAAGTGAAAAAAAAACAAACCCCAAATAAAAATCTCACTTTCTGAAGCCAGCATGAATTCACAAAATATGTAAACCAAACAATTAAAAGGCCCAGTCATCATGCTACTGCACGTGAAATAAGCAAGGCATCCTGCAGGAAAGCTTGAGAAATACTATATGGTGAAGATATTCCTGATTACTCGGATTCAGAAGGGACCACCTCTCATGAAACACTCCCCCTTCCAGTTTGGAGATCGGGGAATTGCTTCTGAGACAGATAGACTAAGACTTTTCTTAGGAAACACATTTTGGAGGTATCACCTCCTTTGATTAAATGCTCCCCAGACTGCAATGACTATTTAACCGGGGGAACAGAGGAAGTCATCCATACAGGCTATGGAACTTCAGCCCTCCATGGGCTGTAGCACACAAGGTGTATTTAACCTTAGGTAACCCTGGCACTGGAGAAAAATTCACCTTGGTTAAAGAGCAATCTTCCCCTTTCATAACAGTTCTTACCTTAAATTTTCAAGTCTGCTTGCATATTTCAAAGGCAGAAATTCAACCAATAGCTCAATGACTACCTACAAACGCACTGTAGCAAACAGAGGAAATGCAAGCAATTCCAGACAGGGTTGTCTCTGGGGGGAAAAAAAAAAAATCTGTGCTGCTCAGAAGTAATTGTTTCCTTAATTCTAAGAGACATTGGAAAGCCTCCTTTGCTTGTGGCAATATACACAGACTGATAAGAACTGAGCTAGAAAGATACAATTCCTCTGACTAATCATGTTAAAAAGGTATGGGCATATATAACCTGTCTCACAGGTCTCTGCACTTAAGAGATCATCAACCTGGACCTTAACAGTCAGTATTCAGATAGATGTACGCCCCTCCACTAGGTTGGCTCTGAAAGATGAGTGCCTGCCAGACAACATTTGCCTCTGCCAGAAGTGTAACTCATTAAGAAAAACAAGGCACTGATCCCTCCCAATATTCACCATCACACTTCACCGAATGGATCTCCTTACCAGCCTCTGGATTGAGAATCCAAAGAATTTATTCTCTTTGCCTTCCCAACACCAAATACTCTGAGACTTAAAGACTTTTGTCCATGAGTGGCATATCAGAGTTCTGAATCAGAGACTCTTAGCACATCAAACAATCACTTGAACCATAACTCCATAAATCTGCCACTTTTGGAACTGTGCTTTGAAGTGCTGAAAATCACTTTCAAAAGTGTATTAAACTTTGATTATTCTAATAACCTAATGGAAAAAAAACAATGGAGGAAAGGACAATCATCACCAGATATATGTCAATGAGTAAGAGGAAAAGTGCTATAATCTAAAAATCAACTATCTAGCTGGACGAGGATGAAGATGGAGGACAAGAAATAAGGTGAGAGAGCCTAGAATCTGAGATTTACAATCTCTCCTGCAGTCTTTAGATTCTCAGACGAATGCTTCGTTGGGCCTAGGTTAGCACGGTAATATTTAGTTCTAAAATTCAAGAAAAAAAGATTTCTTCTGCATAACGCACCATAAATGTCAAGGCTTTTGCACCATGTATACTAAGTAACGTCTCTGAAATTAGTGAAAAAGCCTTCAGAGGGAAATAAAAAAAATCAGATTACTGCTGATGTGCTGAAGTGATGTTGCATATTGTATTATTTTTTCCGTGTGCAAGACCTGTCTGCAGGTACTTCACTGATAAGGACACTCAACAAAAAGAAAGTCACTGTGTTACACACAAGTGGGCTTGTCCAAAGTAACAAAACCAACTTTTGTGACCTCTTATATGTCCTGGTTTTGGCTGGGATGGAGTTGGTTTTCTTCCTGGTAGCTGGTGTGGTGCCATGTTTTGGATTTGGTACTAGAAGAATGTTGATAACTCACTGATGGTTTAGCTGTTGCTAAGTAGTGCCTAGACTAGTCAGGGACTTTTTCGGTTTCCCCCGCTCTGCTGGGCGCACAGGAGGCTGGGGGGGAGCACAGCCAGGGCGGCTGGCCCCCACTGGCCAAAGGGCTATTCCCTACCATCTAAAGTCATGCTCAGGGCGGGGAGTTAGCCGGGGGAGAGGGATCCCTGCTCAGGATGGGCTGGGCATCGGTCAGCGGGTGGTGAGCAATTGTACTGAGCATCACTTGTTTTGTATGTTCTGTATATTCTATTACTACTATTATTATTACTACCACTACTACTTTTTTTTCTTTCCCTCTACTTTTTTTTTTTTTTTTATTAAAGTGTCTTTTTCTCAACCCCCAAGATTTACCTTTTTTTTTCCCCCCGATTCTCTCCCCCATCCCACTGAGGGAGGTGGGGAGTGAGCGAGTGGCTGTGTGGCATTCAGCTGCCTGCCATGTTAAACCCCAACATTATAGCACCAAATATTTTTGAGTCTGTCACAGTTCTTGAAAGGAATAACAGGTGTCAATTAGAATAAGTGGCTCATATTTTGACAATTTTTGTGCGAAAATTGGTTTGAGACAAAGAAACATTTAATAATTAATAGTGTTAATGTTACAAAGGTCCTGTGTTACCTTTTAGTCAAGAAATTTTAAGTGATGTTTGAAAATAAACCGGAGCTAAGAATATACAATTACTCTTAATAACCTAATTCATGAAAAAGACAGTAAGAAGCTTGACCCAAAGCACCCTGGTGCCGTTTTCCCAAAGCACAGATAACACAGATTGAGGAAAAAGAAAAAAACCCCTGTAAATCAAGAGTCAAAAAGTCAGAGTCAAGTCAAGTCAAGAGTCAGAAATAAGTATATGCACAGTAATGTTGCCTTACTGATTGCAGAATAACCTGCAATATTCAATATAACTTGCTTTGCTCTCTAGCAGGCTCTCTGATGATCTTTCAAAGGTTGCTCCTGCCCAGTCTGCACATCTCTGGAGCAAACAGATTCAGCCTAGTGAGGCCACCAGCTAGCCTAACAACTACTTATAAACAAAGAGTCCACAAAAAATGGAAATCAATATAAACTGAGTAACAGCAATGTTGTAAAAAAACCCCTGAGAGACTAATTCTTGAAAGGGATTCACTTCAGATACATTTGGCAATGTCAAAGTTAACTTTGACACTTAGGTTCCTGCTACAATCACTACGAAGTCATAGGCACCGCCAAATGGCAATTTATTCCAGTTAGGATTCAATGAGACCATTTTCTTCTGTAAGCTACTAAAGTAGCTTAAATGGTTAGTTCAAATCTAGTTTGTCTGATCTTTACATTGTCTGAAGTTACATGAGATGAGAGCTGTCTCATCTTTTTGAGGAATTTAACCTGTAAGATGTCAGTGTTCTGCCTGCTTCTAAATTCAAAAAGGTAGAAAGCAAAAGGCAACACCCCATACAATTACAATAAAAAAAAGAATACATGTAAACAGTATCCTTCCCCCCCCTTTTTTTAGATATTAATTTTATAGGTATTCAGAGTGGGATGTGAGCAAAAGCAGGTAAGCCTTCAAACTGTTTGGGAGAGCGTAGAGGCTAATGATTGCCTGAATTCCACCGTATGTTGAAGATTTCACTCAGAATTGCAGCTACACTATTATTTGTCAGATTTCTTCCTTTTCTTTTTAATCGTACCTCAGTTTCAGATTTTGGATGAAATGGGACAGCACATGGGGGTTGATAAAAAAATATGATCTTTATTTTTTATTAACTTGGCAATATAATTTAATTTTTCGTTGTTAAATTATTTTTAAAAATATTGTCGTTTACATAAAAAAATGTAAATATACCACATTTTTAGGGATTTGGCAAATCTAAGTGAGGAGCAAAGGATGTTAATAGAAATTGATCATTACAGTGATGCAGTGATTTTTTGCTAATATGGCTTTGTTAATTTAAATTCTTGTATTTTTAATTGCCAGAATGTGTTATTTTGTCACTCCAGGGAATTTCTAATCAAGAAGGATGAATTTGCACTAGCAAGTATTTAAAGAGGGTAAACATGTGATAAGAATGCTTATAAATCAACAGGCTTCATGAGGGAACCACATAGACGAAAGTTTAAGCTGAGAGAGCTGAAACTGGTTTTGGACACTGTCAGCAAGGAAACAAATGGCAGCACCGGATAAATTTGCCTGTTATGATTACAAGATCTATTGGGCCACAGAAGCACAATATCATTAGCTATAATATTAAAATCAAATTGCATTAGCAACATTAAAGACATTACTGTATAATAAAGAATATACTCTTAAAAATCCAAATGTAAGTGCATATCCATATATTTAAAAATATAAATTAAGATTAATAGAAAATAATGAAGACAGACCAACTTAAAGATAAATAGAAATCAACATATTATTGTATTTACATATAAGTTCTAGTACCATGATTTATGAGTAGTTTCTAACCAAAGTATTAAGATACAGGCCCAAACATTTTTAAAAGAACAAGAGGTATCAATCCAGTCCGATAAAAACATAATTCTTTTTGTCAAAATAAAGGCAATTTGAAAGGCTAATTTCTTCAGAAAAAGGATACACTCAGTACAGACAGCAAGCTTGAATAATAACAGATTGCCCTTCTTGAATTTAGCAACAGAAATTCCATGTCTGTTCTGCCATCCTCTTTCTAGCAAGGGAGTTATTTAAAACCCAGGTCTTCCAACTCTAGGGTTTACAACAATGTTTTGATGAAGACAGGCACGGAAATGAACATGCAAACCCAATCTGAAATTCTGATAATTAATAGGTAGTTTCCACGTTGCAATATCTAGGCAACGGCGAAGTAGCAATGCAGGCTCAGGCATTTTATCATGCTTGAAAAGCAACAGTTTATGAAGCAGTGTTTTAAGCAAAAGAAAGTAGATTATAAAACGGATTATCCCTCTGTACACACATATACATTAACTGATAACATACTGAGATTCCCCAAACTGATTTTACAGATCACAAAGTGGTCCATCTTCTTGTTATACACGCATCATGTCTGAAATGGGCTAACACATCAGCATTTACCACAACTGCAAAAAACCCCAGAACTGTAGCACAGCAAAACTTTTTTTCCTGTTCTGGCCACTATATATTTATACATTTTTAAATGTGTATAAATACGCATGGATAACCCTAGAGTTTAACAACAGAATTAATGTCTTACCTTCCATCTCTATCCCAGTCATACACTTCTACTTTAATTGTCCTACAAAAATAAAAAACACAACCCTATTAAAATAGATACTAAAAAGTAAAAGGATTGCCTTTAATACTTGTATTTTAATAGCATATGCGTGCATCACTTGTGCCAAATCCAGAAGGCAGAATTTTCTTGTCATTTCTCATAGGGCAGAAAATAGTGAGTCTCTCAGGTTACCCAATATATCTTCAGAAATTAATAGTAAATACAGTAGAAGCAAGGGAACCAATTAAACACATTGGAAGTTTAACCAAGTTATTTTTACTTGCTGCTGTTTTGAATTTTCGGTGGTTTTTTTATAAATGATTCTTTAAGCCTTAAAGGATTATCAAAGTTCTTAAAAACTTTAACAAACTGGAACTTATTGTGATGGTTTCTTTGGTATATGCTATTATCTGGAAAATGGTTATCTACTGTAATAACATCTTACAGAAAAAAGCAATATATCCATATTTGAAAAGAAGTCTGCAGAGATTGAGAGGGCCCTTATAAAACAAAATTATTAAACAGCAAAGTACAGATTAAAAGCAATGTTCACAATACAAAGTAAAGCATGTTTAAAGCAGTAATGAATTCTAGTCCATACATTTTGGTTCTTAAATGAAAGGAACTACTCCCCAGTTCAATAAAACTTCAATCTGGTAGACAGCATTAACCTCTTCTAAACATTGTGCAGTGGCGAAAAATGAAAACTCTGTGAGATCTGTCCAAGATTTTGTGAAGGTCCTGTCTGTGGCTGCAGATGAAAGAAATCTGTAGTTCTGTCAAGATTGCATTTTTCGCCTCTTAAGATCCCCCCTACCTCTCAGTAGAGGCAGCGGCGGCTGCTTGGCCATCTGACTAAAGAGAAAAGCGCAGTGTAATTTTTTTTAATTCCTATGAAGCCAACAGGATAGTTGTTCAGTTCTTTCATCAGACTACACTAGATAACCATCAGATTATACAACACAACCATGACTCTGGCTTCCTAGAATGAAGTGGGAGAAGCAGACTGCAGGGTACGGGCGGAGCACAACAGACACAGGCTCTGCGTACCAGTTTTTCCCAAACTGATGGATCGCCCTGGACTGTGGGAATACTCACCCTTTTCTTAGGGAGTCAGGAGCTGGTGGGCAAGTTAGGTAATAAAATGTAAAACTCTGCTAACACACAAGTACTCAGTGCAAGCACTTTTTCAATAGGAGAACTGATTAGAATTTACTTCATTCAAATCGGAGTTGAAAGCCATACTAGTAGATTATTATACACACAAAATGATACACGGATTTAAAATATTTTTTCACAGTATAAACCAGTAACTAACTGGGAAATTTTCAGGGAAGCACCTCATGAAAAACATTAGGTATATCATGGTTCCATACAGTTTCTTGAGCATCCCTCTGATGAATCTGCAACTTGCTACTGTGTGAATCATGGTACTGAGACAGGGTACCAAAACTGTTTAACTAAAAGTATGACCCAATAAGCAAGCCCATGTACCTCCTATGCGCTACTTCCCATTTATGAGATTATGCCCCTCCCATGACGAAAGGTCAAGGGAGTTGGGGTTGTTCAGCCTGGAGAAGAGAAGACTCCGGGGAGACCTTATTGCACCCTTTCAATATATACAGGGGGCTTGTAAGAAAGACAGAGGCAGACTTTGTAGTAGGGCCTGTAGTGACAGGACAAGGGGAAATGGTTTTAACCAAAGGAGGGCAGATTTAGACTGGACATAAGGAAGAGATTTTTTACAATGGGGGTAGTGAGGCACTGGAAGAGGTTGCCCAGAGAAGCTGTGGATGCCCCCTCTCTGGAAGGGGTCAAGGCCAGGGTGGATGGGGCTCTGAGCAGCCTGGCCTAGAGGAAGATGTTCCTGCCCATGGCAGGGGAGTTGGAATGAGGTGATCTTTAATGTCCCCTCCAACCCAAACCATTCTATGACTCTATACACATGTAAAAGCTGCAAATTGAAGATCAATGTGGAGACAAACTGTTTCCTTACATTAAAGTGAACCTCTGAGGACAGCTCTGACAATTCTTGCTTCAGGGATGGCTGAGAAACAGTCAAAATGTAGAAAACAAAAATTTCCCCTGTAAAGGATCGATCTTATTTTACACTTACTTGAAGAGTGGGTTTCTTAAAACACTATAGAGCATATTATCATCAACATAATTAATGAAACAGGAAATGTGTATCAGGATGGGAGATAGTATATAGTTTTATTTATCTCCTTTTAATACAGAAAGACTGTAACTATAAGTAAATTCAATGGTCAGTAATAATGAATCCTATCTGGCCTAAAATAAACTGAACATGGGATAGAAAAATAACACCTCCATTTTAAGCAACAACATGCTTACTTTTATTCTTCAGAACAGTTTCACATGAAGTGAAGTCATTAGGTCTGTGGTATTAATTGACGGGACAGGAATCTAAGCAATTTACAATTGGCTTCCACAGAAGCCGCTCACCATTATTCCTGTGAGATACAGTTGAATACATGTTGAATAATTTTCTTGACTAGGAAAGGACTCTTTGGAGACAAGGTTGATCAACAGCTGATATTATGTACACCAACAAATTCATGCCTAGATTTTTTTCACATTTGTTAAAATATTCCAAAATAGGCAAAGAAGGAGTTGCTTTGTCTGGAAGTTTCTCTTTCCAACTCAAATTTAATGGCCCTGGCCACACCATTTGGTACATTTTATCCCTCTCATGGAATTTGTTTGGGGTTAAGTTACCTTAGAATGAAAACTGATTAAAGTGGAAGTTGTTCTGTGGAATGAAATCAAGAACAGCTCCAAACCTACTTTATCCCACCAAGTATTTAACCCTTGAAAGGAAACTTTTAATTTTGTAAAAAAGGCAATATCAGACAGGGGTTTTCCCTAGAGAACCATTTTTTTACTTCCAGGTCTCAAAACCTGTTACTATTAAGATAGACAGGACACACTAGTTAAGATTTACATAAAGTTTAGTGGGACTTAAGTTTTGAATTGTCTTACAAATCTGTGTTCAAATAGCCAAATCATCTCAGAGAGAAAACTTGAATTATTAAGATAAACTATTAAGATTATAAATTCTTGAGAAGGAACTTCGGACATGCAATTTCAATACATTCAATTTGAATAAAGCTCCTCTCTAAGGAAATTTATTTCATATTAAAAGGATTGATCACAGATATTGAGTTTTACCTACTTTGCATGACATGCGAGATATTAAAAGGCCTTTCAAATCTTCACATACTGGTATTTTACCTGCTCTACACTACTATTTTATCTTAAAGGACACAGTTTAGAGGATGGGTTCTCTATTTTAATTTTTAAAAAGTCTTTAATTTAAAAAAAGTCACGGTTAGAGAATATTGGGGTTTAGGGTATCTCTGTCTTAAAATTTTGTGCAGAAAATTTTGTGTGTGCTATTTGAGAGGTCATATTAAGAGAATTAAGATGGGAACAAAAGTATTAGAGATACTAAGTACTACTGTAGTACTGAAATCCTGTCCCTGTGGTGGCTGAAAACATATTAGATGATTACATACTTTGAGAAAAATTAAGCAAATCCTGGCCTTTTCACAATGAAAAAGTGGACAGAGCTCACTCAGAAGCACACACTAACTGAAGATTTACTCTCCCTAAAACTAGAATGAATGTTTATTGTGATATATTCTTACTAATGACATTATTCCCACCTTTCACATCTATCACAGAACCCAGAGCACCAAAATCTGATCTGTGAAACTATCATTATCTGAAAGAGGCTTTGGGGATTTGTGTTTTTAAGTAATATCTTGCTCAGCTTAGGAATCTAATCCTTACCTTTAGAAAGAAAAGGTTTCAAATAAACACACACAACACCCCCACCCCCCAAATTTGGATGCTTTTTCTGGACTATCAATAGATACTAATTTGAATTAATCTGACAGCTAACGAGTATTTCTTGATTTGAAACATGATTGTTGTAGGCAGGATTATGAAGTTCCATGGAGCCTTTTATTCATAAGGCAATCACTGAGCACATTATGTTGAAAGCATTCAAAGTAGAAACAACATGAGAAAGCAGTAGTTACACAGTAATTTGAGGCATGCTATTATACTTTTTAATTCTCTTTCAGAATGCTGGAGTTATTTCAATATGCCTCTACCACAATATCTTTTTAATTATTTTGAAAACGTTTTATTTAATACGATAAATAGTGCAGCATCCAGAGACTAGCTTCATGTGCACTGTTTTGCTTATGCATTATGCACATGAACCCATATACAAGTTAAAAATTCTATTTGATTAGAATGTTCTTATTATGAAATTGCTGCATTTTTATTGCATCTAAGTGAAAGAATAACGACCATGGCTGACACTGATGGTATTGAGTACTTCACAAGGAGAGTGTTAGCAATGTAGGAGAAGCCTTTTTCCTTCAGTCTGAAGAACATGATATCAAGTACTGGAAGAGTATCACAGATCAAATAAAGCTGATAAGGTCTGGTAGGAAAGACTGAAAATGGCCATTCCCCCTCAAAATGATAAAAAAATACCACTTTCCTAGGAAAAAGAACCCACTAGTCAATTAGCTTTTGACTTCTTAATAAGCAACTTATAAAGGCAGAGCTTTAAGGTTATTACTGTGAAAGCATTCTGTTTAGCTTAGTGAATATAAGCACTTCTTATTCTCCTGCTTCTTCATATTGACTACCGAGATTCAGTCAAGTTGATTCAAGAGCGGGTTTGTTTATCCCCTGGCATTAGCTAGTGAATTACAAATTCAAGGAATGCCTCCCGGAAGACTAGGCTTTGATGGTAACCGATTAAAATAATTTTAGTGTACACATTTCACTGAATAATTAGCTTGATAAAGTAATGCAACAGATTTATGGCATGGCAAAATCATGTACTATAGTAACATAAAATGTACATGAATGGATGGTAATCACATACATGGAAGCTGAAAATAAAAACTGAGGTAGAAAAGTACTGAAATCCCAAATTACAGATTGTTTCAAAGACACACTCATAAGACAATTATCAATTTGAACAAAGTCTTAATTTCTTTACATGCAGCATTATGTTTCAACAAAGGATTTGGCTTCTGCTGATGGAAACATTATTTCATGGTTAGAAGAATGCAATACAAAACCTCTTTTTATTTTAATCAATAAGATAAAATACCTTAATTTATATAAGACAATAAGATATGAACATAACAATCTCAACTTATAAAATAAAACAGATGTTTACGGGTTAGAAGGTGTTCAAAACCAGATTTTGGACCTTTTGCCTTTGAAATACTCAGACAAGTATATTTTACATCTCCTGTATTTTTCACACAGTCTATGTAAAGCCAAATTGAACCTTAGCACACGTGTCCGTCTATCTACTACATTCAGCTCATTATGCATATTTTTATTCTAGTCTTCATACATTTCCTTCATGATTTTAAACTAAGTATTACAGTATACATTGCTAAAAGTATTATGACTAATTCGGAAGTCTATATTTCCTCAGAGTCTTACTACAATAATTCCAGTACTCCAGACTTCAGGTAGCAGAGATACATAAACTACTAGACATTTAACTGGGTTCTTAATAATAACACCAATATCTAAATGCATTTCAAAAATATGAATGGTGACAACAGAACAAGAAGTCATCAACAGGGGGTTAAACATTTTTCCTGTTGATATTGTTAGAAGTTAACATGCCCATTTTTTAAGGAGTCTAAAAATATCCATCATTCCTCAACAAATTTGCTTGTTAGCATTGGCAAAATACTGGTTAAAAACATGGTATTATTACCATGTTTTTCAAAGATTAAACCTTTTGCATAGGATTACTGAAAACTTCAAATCTGAAAAGATGATTATTACCTTCTGCGTTTCTTACCCATATATTTTAAAGGCTTTCATTTATCAGCATCCTCTGACATTACAATGTCACCCAAGGAAGACAGATCACAATTGGTTTTCATTGAAACATTATTAAAAAATACTTGTGCACACTAGTAACATTCTTCAAATTAGTCTTTTCTTTCTAACTGTTTCTTAATCACACCATAGAGAGCAAATTTTTTTCCAGAAATCACCACTAACACTTCCTACAGATTTAGAATACTGGGTTTATTTTTCTAAATTCATTAATATGATGAATGGTTTTGAACACATATTATCCTTTCAAAATACTGATTAAACAACCCAAATAACATCAGGAACTGAATTGCATAGAAAAACTTACATATAAAAGAATACATGAGTTAGGGGAAAAAATCATATATGCTAAGAAAGCTTAACCCATAACTTACCGGTCATAGTCTCCGTTACACAGTGCTCTGACAGAAATCTTGAATGCCTGCCACACTGGATTTAATGTATTTTTTATGACTTCTGTTTTGTGGCAGATTGTAAAACTGTAATAAAAAAGATATACTTTGTATTTATTTACTTTTTATTTTGTGTCATCAAACATGGAATCAAAAGAGCTGTAATCTGTATTCACTCATACAATGTTTGTATAAAATTTAAAGATAAGAAAAAAAGAAACGTAGTGAAATCAGAGAGAAGGGGGGACTGAAGAGGACAGGCCTGTTTGAGAGAGATTACAGACTAGGGTGCTAAATAACTATAAACCTAAAATATTTTTACCTAAAACTTCGACAAGAATTACGACCATTCAGTGAGTTATTTAGGCAACTGCTGTCTCCATCCCGCTTGTTTAAACAGGCCTTGTACAGCCAGGAATCAGTCACAGATGCAGAAGGCAAGCTATCTGCTAAGGATTTGACTCTTGCTTAGCAATTAAGAACCTGAGCCAAGGGAGTCATGGCTTTCTGATGCTTGTTCCCCATTTTATGTCTATGATTTTTTAATCAGGGCTGTCTCAGTTAAAACATATAAGCCTCTGTGAGATTCCATGATCACCTTGTCTCAGGTGAAATACAATGTTTTAATGCATTCTGTTTTCTGTAAATGATGCAAAATCAAAATGTTTCTTTTGAATCCTCACCTTGGGGGCTGAATTGTTCAAAAGAAAATAGAAGGCAAGGTCACTGGTGAAACCGCTACTGAAATTCTATATACAGATGTAACTGAAGTTGTCCTTTGAGGGAGTATCCTCCTTACATTCCAAAGGCCTATGTTTTTATTCTGGCTATGATTCAGAAGGCATGCCCGAAGCTAAGGGCCAGAAAAGAGAGCATCTTTCTGCCCATGGGTGCAAAGTACTGCCCCAACCTCCTGTTGGATTCAGGAGACCAATAAAGAATCAGTGCCTCACCACTCACCTCTTGGAAGGAAGTGGAGAAGCATGGCGCTCAAGGCCAAGAGAAACTGCATATACTAGCATTCCCAGTAATGCCCAGAAAAATTCCACTAATGACCTTAATGCCACTCACAAAGGAGCCATAACTCCTCCAGGCTTGCAATTTAAGATATTCAGTGTTTATCCAGGAAGCTGTTCCTATAATCTGCCTCCGAGAGCAGAAGAGCAGGGAACAGACAGGCATACACCCTTACCTAGGTTTATGTTAACAACTGTTCCAGTTAAGCTACTGAAACAAGCAGCATCATACAACATCGTATCAAACCAAAGGCTGGACATGTGTGTGAGGACTGGCAGTTTCCGATAAAACTCAACCTGCCAGTAGACCCCCATGTAAGCACCATGTTGACCAGAAGTTAGCGTGTCAAGTCTGAGCAGCAGAACAGGAGAGGTTAACCTACTTTAACAAATTAAAGCATGAATGCAGCAAACAGCCACTTGTAAAATAAATAAATAAATAAAAATTCTATTTATTGTATTTTTTAATTCTATTTATGGTATTTTTTAATTCTGTTTTGTAGAATTCTGTCAAAAATATATTTCCAAATTTGCGGTATAAAATGGTTTTACCTAAAACAATTTCTAAGCATTAGCATATTCTGCAGCTACAATTTTCTTTGAGAATTATATTTAAAGACATACTATGTCTTAGCAAAAGTAACAGTATTTAACTATTTTTATTACAAATAATTTTCATAGTGCTCTTTATTTATCATACATTCAATTCTTAAAACTGAGTTGCAACATGATTCATTTGTTACAACAGGTTTATTCCCATGCTGTATAACATGATGTATTTCCAAGAAACTAATCCAACAAATATTATCAAAGAAACACAGCTTAATCTGACAAATATAAAAAAAATGAAAACTATATTGCCATCTGCAAATAAGTAAGTTGCCTACTGTTTAGCAGCAGAAATACTTAACAGGCATCTACCTGCCATCTTCATTGCTTCGATGAAATACAAGGAAAGGATCAGATTTCCCGAAGAAGTCCTTCTTGTCTAGTTTGTTCGCACAAAATTGCATTAAAACTGAATCCTGAAATGGGTAATACAGAAAAATTACATACACTATGCAGTTTACTACACTAAAAAAAATTAAAAAAATAAATCATTGACATAGCCATACAAATAGAAAACAAAATAAGTGAGGGTATCTGCCTTCTAGATGCCCGAACCAAGAATTCCTTCGCAGGGGGGTGCAGAAGAAGGGTAAATGTCTATGCTAAATGCCTCAGGATTTTTCCAGTATTTTCTGAAATCCAAAGTTGCATTCTGAAGGAAGTAGATACACAGGCAAGGAACACGTATTAGAATCTAAACCTGCGGTTTTCTGCTCCTGCTGTCTGTAAAGCCAATGGCTTAGCAGCTTGCTATTAAGAGTCTAGAAGCTTCTGGAAGATACCAAACACACCCATTTTGATGACAGATAAGGAGAAAAGTTTCTTTGCTGTGGCCAGGCAAACTGGTAGTCACACATGGTCACCTCTTTGGGCAGGGTCAGGAATGCAAGAAGGATTATAAATGCAAAGATAAACACCTGCAGACTCACCAGCCTACTGGGGCAGGGCCTGCTGGAAGACTGTGTTCCATGAAGAGGTGTACAGGAGTAACAGCAGCGAGAGGAAGACCACGGAAAATGCGGGCTCACCACTGAGTGGGCAGGGGATCAGGTGACAAAGGACATGGAAAAGTCCATGTTTCTCATAGCCCTCTATGTCTTGGTCTTTACTGGTAAGACTTGCCTTCAAGAATCTTGGGCCCCTGAGAGCCAGACCTGAGAAAGTCCGGAACAAGGATTCCTTGCCCTTGGTAGAGGAGGACCAGGTAAAGGAACATTTAAACAAACTAGACATACAGAAGTCCATTGGACCTGACAGGATGCATCTGCATCTGCTGATGGAGTTGGCCAATGTCACTGTGAGGCCACTTTTGATTATCATCTTTGAAAAGTCACAATGCTCAGGAGAAGTTCCTGAGGACTGGGAGAAAGTAAATGTCACTCCTATCTTCAAGAAAGCGCAAGGAAAAGGATCCAGGCCAGCCTTGCCTCAATCCCTGAGAAGATGATAGAGCAAATAATCCTGGAGAACATTTCCAAACATATGAAAGACAAGAAGGTAGCTGAGAGTCATCAGCATGGATTTACAAAGGTGAAATTCACACCTGACCAACCTGAAGCCTTCCCTCATGAAATGAGTGGCTCAGTGGGTGAAAGAAGACCAGTGGAGGCTGTTTATCTTGTTGTTAGCATGGCCTTAGACACTGTCTCCCATAATATCCTTGTTCACAAACTGATGAATTACAGACTAGACAACCAGACAGCGACGTGGACTGAAAACTGGCTGAACTGTCGGGCCTCAAAGGGTCATGATCAGTGGCACAAAGTGCAGCTGGAGGCCAGTCAACTAGTGGTGTACCCCAGGTGTCAAAAAAGGGGCCAATAATATTTAACATCTTCATTAATGACCTGGATGATGGGACAGAGCAGACCCTCAGCAACTTTGCAAATGATACAAAACTAGGAGTAGTGGCATACAAACCAGATGGCTCTGCTGCCATTCACAGGCACCTGCACAGGCTGGAAAAACAAACCAACATGATTCTCATGGACTTCAACAGAGGGAAATACCAAGTTCTGCACTTAGAGGGGAATAACCCCATGCACCAGTCCAGGCTGCAGGCCAAACAGCCAGAAAGCACAGAATCATCATAGAATCACTTTCATTGGAAAAGACCTTTGAGATCATTGAGTCCAACCTTTAACCTAACCCTGACATCCCACCACTAAACCATGGCCCTAAGCACCTCATCTATCCTTCTTTTAAATACCTCCAGTGATGAGGACTCTACCACCTCTCTGGGCAGCCCATTCCAGAGCCTGAGAACCCTTTCAGTGAAGAAGTTTTTCCTAATGTCTAGCCTAAGCCTGCCCTGGCGCAGCTTCAAACCATTCCCCCTTGTCCTATCGTCTGTTACCAGGGAGAAGAGGCCGACCCCCACCTCACTACAGCCTCCTTTCATGTACTTGTAGAGGGCGATGCAGAAAAGGACTGGGGAGTCTTGGTGGACACCAACCTGACCAACATGCCCTTGGCAGCAAAGAAGGCCAATAGCCTCCTGGGCTGCATGAGGAAGAGTGCTGACAGAAAGCTGAAGGAAGTGACTCGGCACTGATGAGGCCGCTCCTGGAGTACTGTGTTCAGTTTTGGGCTCCCCAGTACAAGACAGACATGGACATACTGGAGTTATTCCAGGAAAAGGGTCACTGAAATGATTAAGGGGTTGGACCATCTATCACATGAGGAGAGGCTGAGAGCGTTGGAATTATTTAGCCCAAAGAAGGCTCAGGGGGATTTTAGCAATGTATATAAATACCCGATGGGAGGGAGTAAACAGACTGCTTAGTGGTATCCAGTGGTAGAACAAGTGGTGATAGGTACAAGTTGAAATACAGGAAATTCCATTTAAACACAAGAAAACACCTTTTTACTGTGAGTGTGGTGAAACACTGAACCAGAGAGACTGTCGAGTCTCCTTGGACATACTCAAAACCCAAGTGCACAGAGCCCTGAGTAACCTGCTCTGAGAAGAGCAGGAGGGTTGGACTAAACGATCTCCCAGGTCTCTTCCAACCTCAGCAATTCAGTGATTCTAATAATCTTTCCTATTCTGAATTCTGAGTATGAACTATAGAAGTTTGGCAAAAAAATTCAGAAGATCAGGTAAGAATTAATCCAAATACTGAATAAGCTTAGGTAGGAAAATATCACAGTGAAAATATGCCACAGCTGGTGAGACAGCGCAAGAGATTGTGTGAGAGAGTGTCCACGTGAAAAAGCATGACAGAGAATGCACAATAGAGTGCAAGAGAGAGATGGAGTCCCAAATTCTTTGCAAGCTCCCTTCAGTGATTTGGAACTAGCCATCACATATGTAAAATTTGAGTGGAGTGAATCTGGAAAAACATGAAGGCCTTGGAAAGCACCAAGGACTTGTCTTCATTAAGAGGGAAAGAAAAAAAATCCTGTTCTGATTACGGATCTAATGACATATTTGTGACTTTTAAATAGTTTGTTAAAACTGGGATACAAATGCTGGTCTTGGAGGATAAACCCAGAATATCAGGAAAAAATTGCCTTTAGTCTCTTTTAAGGTTACCAATAAATGCCTGGGGTGATGGCACATGTCTCTTAAGAATGGTAGGAGCTTAACTTCTTAAGAAACGTAGAAGCACAATTTCTGCAGGAAAGCAATTCAGTTACATACCCATTCTGTCATCTGATAAAAGTGAACAATTTGATCATGTACTACGTACAAAAGTTTGAGCCAATGTAAAATAGAGGGGAATGGCATTTTCCATGATCGTACTTATTCATTCATACTAGTAACACAGGAATTTCCTACTGCTAAATGGGAATTAAATGAGACTGAGTTGGTGCACCCTATTATCATAACCGTGCAGGACCAGCAGGTTGCCTGGAAAAGGCAAATAAGATTTAAGCCTGTGTGCTATTCAAATATACCACTGTAACACTTCTGCCACGAAATAATACCAATTTGACTAAGCTGGAAATAAGGCACAAAATTAAGGATTTCTTTTTACTTAAAATATCTAATGAAATTAAGAATATAAGGCCTAAATTAGCTATCAAATATATTAGTAAAAAGAGAAACATGACTATTGCATAAACAGAAAAAAAATAACCACTTATGATGTGATATAAAAGTTAGAAGTTATACAAATGGTGAAGCATTACCCCCTCACCACCAACAAATTACAAAAACTAAACCCCAGAAGAAATCTCTTCAGGCCTCAAGGTATTTTTGTAGGTTTATGTATCTAATCTTGTACTCTCCAGGTCCCCTATACATTCTCATCAAATGTGTGATATTATTGCTTTCTTCATTTAAGATTTGCTATCTTGTCACTGCAAACTCTTCAAAGATACACCCTACAGCTCCATCCAATATAGACCATGCTTTGACAAACTGTCCTCCTCCTCAGATTCCAACCGGTCTTCACCCCGTATCTATAACCCTTCCTTATTCTTCCTTCCAGTCTCTGTTCCCCTATGATTTACGGATTACTGCTATCTCATTCAGTGCTGGGAAGCAACTGAGCTGGTGCAGCTGCCCGGTGCTTTCTGGACAGCAAGCCACCTCCTCTGTCCAGTCCACGTCTCCATGAACCCGAGGAGAAGTAGGAACGGTGACACTCTTGGGGAAGGTCATGACCACACCACGTCTCTCCCCTTAACCAGCCAAATTCCCCACTGCCCCCCCAATATTCTACTGTTTTCTATTAAATAAGTAGGCATCTGCCATTAATAGGCCAAGGAAGTCTTCACTTTCTTTAAAGAAACTGTTTAAACTCTTCTTTTATGGCGATTCTTTGAAATACCTTACTCCTTTTTTCCAATAAACATTAATTTCACATTTTTAAAATAATATCACTCACTATTAGCATAACACTTTTTAATTATAAGGTTAAAGCCCCAAAATCTTACTTGGAGGTTCACGTAATGCCTATATGCCATAATGGAAACATAATTCCATGGCTGAAACAAATGCATCTTTGTTAAAAACTGGACACTAAGAGATTTAAATGTGATTAATTACTTGGGGAAACAAAGACTAGATTTAAAACTGATCTAAGACACAAAAACTTTATGCTTTGTATTGTTTTCTGCTTCTTTCTGCTTCTGCTATCTAAAACTAACAGTAACTGATAGGAAAAAAGTATCCTAACTTCTTACATATATCACAAAATGCAAATTTATACATCATACATTTGATAACCTGTTGCAGTGTAAATCACAAAACCATTTTCATTTTATTTTTCAAAAAGCAATGAACACACACTTACTCGGCAACAGCCCAGTTCCTCTGCTGTTACTATGACTGTTCCACATTTCTTCCCAGGAATTCCTCTGCAAGAAAATACAGCTACATCACACCAGTTCCTTAATACCATTTATGAAAGTTACAGCTGAGACAGATAAGCACAAAGTTAAGAACTGCTGGCATGCTATACAGTTTTCCTTTTCTGTCAGTCCTGTGTAAAAAAGTTGGTTTATCCTAAGTGAACTGGTGAATGAGTTGCATATTTATTCTAACTAGAAAGAAACAAATCAGTTTCAATTTTAAAGGAGATAGCATTGCAAGTTTAAATGGAATGAAATGACAATATCAGAAATTCTGTTTTCCATCCTCCTGTTGATGCTTTATTTAAATATGACTCTACAACTTACTGATCTGTGCAAAGCATCCTTTTGCAGATTTTCCTTAAACAAAATACCTAAAATATATTTAAAACCATACACCAGCCTGATTTTACAGTATTTATTCTGAAATGTTTATGAAGAGACATCATAATTTCACCATCATACCAGATACAGTAGTTGCAAAATAAATTATAATTCACCCAGACAGCAATTAAAAACATGCTGCTGCAACACCAGAAAGCACAAAATAGATCCTTAGCACAAAGAACAATATAGGAACAGAAAAGCCACATATAACCTGGTAGCACTCAGTGGCAGCAGCCTTTTTGGGGGTGGTGGGTGGTGGTGGAGGGGGAAGTACAAATATTTAGATGCAACTTTTGGTATGATACTATACTGTAAATGAGAGGTTCTGCAATATCCTAATGTCTATTAGTATGCCCATTAGCACACACCCTGGCAATTACTTCCGGATTTTTTTTTTAAAACTAATGCTATTGCTTATGCTAATTTTATTTCTAGTTCTTTATCTCTTTATGTCTTTCTTGAAAATAATTAATTATTGAATAAAATTACTTTCCAAGAAGACATTCAGGTAAAATTGTATTTTCAAATTGATTGTAGTTTTTAGGCTTTTCTAAGAGAACTAGAGGGCACTCCTGTTCTTCTGTTATGACAAAACATTAATGTAAACATTTACTGTTGTTCTTATTTTGCTTACTAGTTTCCTTAATCCTTGTGATTTTTTTTTTACAATGCTCTACAACTTTAAAGAAGTTTGGCAAGACTGTGGTATAATAAAGAATGGGTGGGAAAATAGTTCTTAAAGGCAGATAAAAGTTTAGAAATTATGGATAGAGGACCAGGTACTGATGCAAATTTAGGCAAGCTCACTGAAACTCTTGTTTAGAAGTTGATGTTTAAGTCTACAAGGAATACATGAGGGAATGCTGCTCCTATACCGCTGCACTCATTTGCCAGTAATCAGAGAGATACATGACTGCTCTCCTGGACCTCCTCAGGGAATAGGAAACCACTTTCACAAGGAAAACAATGGATAGGGAAACTGTTCAAGTTTTTGTTATGAAATTTTAAGCGACGACTTAAATACATAGAAAACTTAAGGCATTCTTCCATTTAATGCGGTATGACTTACAAAGTACAATCCTTTAAAGACCAAACAGAAGAATTTTCTTCAAGTAACAGAAGAAAAAGAATCTGGTAATTCCAAATGTTACACAGTATGATTCATAGCTTTATCAGCATCTTCAAATCATCTGGTTTTAAAGCTGTCACCCTTCAACAGTTCACAACTGAAAATTACCCATTTTAGCCTCTGTAGCAATAGGATACTGAAATTGAAATCTCGGATTTTCAAAAGATGATAAAGCTGTGATTTTTCTTTTGAACAGTACTTCTTGAAGCTTCAAAAACTTTTGAAACTTGGTAGTAAGAGCAGTTGTAGAAATGCCTTAGTTACCAGGGTGATATTGACCTTACATGGTAAAATGTTTCAAGAACAAATGATCATGACCCCAGGTCTGGCAGGTAAGAAAGAAATAAAAATTTCAGAAGTGTAATTAAAAAACCCAGAAGTTCCCGGCACCACAATTCTGTAGGTTATGCCAACTCAAATAGAAGGCACCAGTATCAGAATTACCATTACCTGAACCATTAAACCCAATTAACTGTGCCATTAGGATCATATTTGAGACACAGTCTGGGCAGTGACAGTACTTGGAAGAAAAAGCATCAAACATTTCTTTCAGTATGAAAAGTCAAGTAGATTTATCCCATTTCTAAAAGATTATTGTGTCAAATGCTAGATTGTGAAAAGAACAACTCTCATCACCTCCTGAAGAGCTGGAGGCCTGAACTAAAATGCTGATAAGCAAGCCCCATTTCTGACAAACCAGTCACCAAACAGTTGCCATTTGATATGAGAACCTTGTTCCACCCTACCTGCAGTTACAACATAAGGCAGTCAACACCTGCCTGTCTCAAACAGATTTGCACGTGAAGACATTTATGCAAAGACATGCCTTGTTTCATCTTATGAACATGAAGGCCAAGGGAGGCCCAACCCCAAGAGACAGATGTGTCTGGAATTACCACCTGAAGGATGGGGGAAACCGGAGAGGCAATCCCCTGAAGATATTTGGGTGGGTATGACAGAAAAAAAAGGAATTCTTGACTGTTGAGTAGATGTGAAAAGTACACACAGTATAGTCATATCTGAAAGCATTTGGGGTAAGGTTTGGCTTGATATATAATTAAGGTTCCTGAGGGCACGTGCCTTATAAAAGAAGGCTAATATTACCATCATGACTGGCAAAGAGGTGAAATGCTTTATTGAGATTAGCACGGAATTTCTCTACAGAACAAAAAGTTCTCATTGAGGAACTCAAACTCTACCAAATGACCTCTACAGTTTGTGATGCTATTAAGTACAAACTTTGCATTCTTGTCTGAAGACTACAGCAGACCATTTGCAGACACCAAAGAGTTTATTCTCTTACAAATTCCCTTACAAACCATTCATTAAGAAAAAAAAAAAAAATCCTTAAATGTAAAGTCAGCACCCTGACAAAATCTTCAGAGGCCACAGATTAGCCAAATGGAAAGACCTTTAACTAGCAATAATGCCTTGTGAGAAAATAGCAAAATAACGTCAAGCTGGTCATTACTTGGAGATTCAGCATTACAGACCAGTCCCTCCAGTTGCCAGGGAAATACTGACTAATATTACTACCTTGAAGATGAGCACGTAAGAGTTCGACCTGTTTAAACCCAGAATGCAGTGCCAGTGCCCACCTTCTTCAGCTTTAAGGAATAGCTGGTATTGAGCTGCCCTGGAATTGGTTCTGTAGGACTGAACTGACAATACAGAATTTATGTTCAAGCAACGAATTTCTCAGGATAAGTTTCTCTGGAAAGGGTTACAGATGAGGGTTTGTGGGGCAATAACGAGGCAATCTGTACTGCATAATCACTGTCAACTGTGACACTCGATGCTAGTATCTGACACTCAGATATAGAAAATGTGCCAGCCTAAGTGTGAATAGGGTGCGAACTGAAGAAAAGAAGGTAAAATGTGTGGAAGATCTATGTTTCAGTGGGTCCTACCAGTTTGAGAGTCCAGAACCTGTAGGTGTTCTACAGCTATCACCTCTTTTTGGACAGTATGTGAGGGAGCAATAATTGGTCAGTATTTGAAGGAGCAAATAATTTGACTGTTAGAGGAACCAAACAGAAAACCATCATCAAATGAAAGGTCTTCAAGAATACCCACATGTCTCCAGACAAGATACAATCTTGAGGAGTAATTATTGTCTCCTCAGAATAAATGATTCCATGATTGGGACACCACATCTGCAGCACCTAGAGAAGTCTGAATGAACACTTTGAAGACCACTAGGGCTTCAAAAAGGACTGAGAGGAGGACTTTTCCAGAGTTGGTGGAAAAAAATCAGGAAAAGATGACAATTAATCTAGAAATTCAACCTGAGAGGTTAAACAAAGCCTCCAATTTTGCAAGCTAAAACTGCAATGAGGCAGAGGATGGAACATTTTTCAGATAATTCAAAAATTTACAGTCTTACCCCTGAGTTTACAGAACCTAGCCCTCTGGCAGTCACAGAGACAGATAAGAGGATAGGACAAATAAATAGGAAGTCCCAATTCCAGAGTTCAGATGTTTTTCTATCAATTATGTTCACAGCAAGATGACAGGAGAAAGAACTTCCCAAAATAGGCCAGCTGGCTCCAGTACAGCCTCATTAGCAGGCAATGGCACTCAGATGTGAATAACTAGCATAGAATGCTCATTAAGCTTTGCAATGGCTCTGCCTCCTCATTAAAGGGAATCCCTACAGTAATGCACTTAGATCCTGAAAGAAGCATTGCTCAGTTATAAATTTGGCTAACATCTTCTCTCTAGGAAGACAGAACATGCAAATATCTAACTCTGAATAATGTCTGGGAAGGTGACGCTCTCTTGAGAGAAAAATAAAGCTGTGTCATTTCTGGAAGTAGATACATCTGCACCTCATCTTTCCATGCTAATACAACTGGGGCATGCAAGGCCAATCTGAGTAAATCTCACATATGGAGCTTGTCTTGAGAGGGCATTTAATGAATCTAGTAACCCAATAAGTAAAGAGAGTAAACGTTACTGTTAAAATGTCAGATTCTCCATTTCACCTGCTTTGTATGCCTAGGTTTATTTTCCAAGAGAAATTATCTAGAGCAAATGTTCACCTCTGTACCTGGCCAGTCTGTAAAATAAAGTGCAACGCTAAAGTATGTTCTTGAACAAAAATGTTTATAGTCACAGCGATAACAGGCTAGTGCACTACCATACTGGGAGCAAGAGTCTTCTGCAACAGTCTGCATCAAATTCAAAGCCCTTACTGGTGTCAGAAACAGAGAGGGAGGTTCAGGAGACATCCTCATACCTGCCAAGACCAAATACTGTTAAGGTTCATGCCTCAGAGGCGTAATCCGCTGGTGCTTGTAAAACCAATGAAACTGCAAGTCATGCCTGTCATGAAGGCAAAGAAGAAAAACGTGCGTGTATTATCTTAATTTCTGCACTCACCATGAAGGTTAGTAGCAAGGTGTGTTGCAGCCTCCCTGACAGACCACTGCAATGGCCTGAGATGTTTTACCTTTATTTTGATGAAGGACAAGAGTATCCTTTCATG